GGGAATTTACCAAATTGCTCAGAACATGTCAAAGGTTCACATGTGCGAGCGTTGCTATCGAATTCCTCGCGACGTCCGTCGCCAACTAATAGTCCTCCGAAGCGATTGCCGCCGGGCGATTGGTGGAAAGGAGTACTGGTCGGAAAACATCCGTGCCCTGGGCGTCTATGTCGACGAAGGCATCCTACGCGTCAAGAAAGCTCCCAAAGAAGAATCAAAGGAGGAATCTAAGGAAGAATCCAAGGACGAGGCAAAGGATGAGCCAATGGAGGAATCTAAGGAAGAATCGAAGGGCGAGGTAAAGGATGAGCCAATGGAGGAATCCAAGGATGAGGCAAAGGATGAGCCAATGGAGGAATCTGAAAAAGCTTGCAAGGAACAATCCAAGGACGACGATAAGAAGGGAACCGAGGACGAATCAAATAAGGAATCAAAGATTAAGTCGGAACCGAAGGATGACTCAATGGGAGAAGCCGACGAAGACGACAAGAAGGAAGACAAAGATGAAGCAACAGAGAAATCAAAAGAGGAATCCAAGGATGCAGTAACCAACGACCGAGATAAGAAGGACGATGCAGCCTCGAAAGAAAAAGAGACAGACAATGCGAAAAAAGGAGCAATGGAAGTTGAAGCTGCAGAGAAAGGGGATGACAAAGAGACGAAGGAAACACAGGACGGAGCAACTCCTGTGAATGATGACGAGGAAGAAACGGAAAAACTGACTTCGAAAGGCGATGCCGCGGATGCGGAAGAGGACCACAAGGACTCTGAAGAAAAATCAGTAGGAGGCGGGGTGGGCGAAAAGGATGAACAGAAAAGTCCCACAAAAGAGAAAGAGGACGAGAAGAAGACAAATGAAAATGTTATGGAAGCGGACAAGAATGAAGACTCCAAAAAACAGGAGAATGACGAAGACGAGGAGGAGGGAACGACAGAAAAAGACACGAAAGAAAGCAAGAATGATGATCAGGACAAAAGCTCAGTCACAGTCCACATCTGATGGTCGGTTTGAGGACTGTTGTGATCCATTGTGTAACGGAACACTTCAGCAGCAGATACTAGACTCGAACGAAGATTGAGTATACAATCTATCTACTGTGTGTATGCATACTATATATTATATTTCTACTCAATGAAAAAAAGTCTTTTCTCGTGAGGGAGAAAAATCGGATCAATCATAAAAAATGCTTTCTTTCTGACGAAGTTGTTGGCATCCTTGGCGGATGGCTCAGCTTGATGTTCGAGGCTTTACTCGAACCTGAAACGATGACCATTTCTTGTTTTTCAGTCACTCGGAAGAAAAATTAAGCTAAAAATCTACGATTAATCTATGACTATCAATACGAGTTAGAATGAAAAAAAAAACATTTCATACAAAACTTCCAATAGCTTTATGAAGACTGATTTTTGACTGTGTCCATCCTGAGCAACCATGCCCATTTTACTGATTGCAGTGGGCTCTTCGCTTTTCCCTTCTGTGACGGTGACAGAAGTTGATGATTCTTTGAGACGCCATTTCGAGAATTCTTTCACAGGAACTATAGGCAACACGAAATGTCCCAGGAACACCGAATGAACTTCCCGGTAGGACAAAAACATTCTCTTCTCGAACCAGAAGACGGACGAAGTCCATATCGTCTTGAATCGTTTCGTCGAGGCAATCCAGATCCAAGTGAACGATTGCATACATAGAACCTTGTGGCGGAGAGCGAATGTCGAGGCAGTGGCATTCATTCATTAGCTTCGAACAAAGAAGAGTGGCTTGACTTTTTAGAACGTTTCGAAAGTCCTCTTTCCAGCGAGCAAGTCCCGGGGTGGTCGATACGGACAACAGAGCCGGGATTACAGATTGCTGCAGGTGTGATACACCGTGCTGTAGATTGGCCAGACGACGCGCTCCCTTTTCAACTTCGCGTAGCGATCCGTAACTATTGTCCTGGAAAGCGACCCAGCCGATTCTCCAACCTGGGACCAGGAATTGTTTCGAGAACCCGCTCGTGGTGATGATCGGAACTTTCCGTCCGTGCACGGCTGCCAATCGAGCCATTGGATGGAAACGGTTCGATCCAAAGGTCAGATCTCCATATACTTCATCGCTAATTATTGGTATGCGATACTTGAGTGCAAAGCCCAGAATTTGGGTGAGATGAGTCTCGGAAAAGACGGATCCATGCGTCGAAGGATTCGTTATGACCATAGCTCTAATAGCGCGACAACAAGTATTGCCGTTTTTGCTTGTCATTATTTCTTCGAGGTGATTCATATCGCATTCCCATCCCTGGTGGGGATCGAGGCGGTATCGAATCACGTTTGCTCCAATCGAAGCTGAAATTTCTTCATACAGGGGCAACCCTGGCTGGGGAACGAGCAATGTCGTGCCTGGGTCTAGAAGTGATTCAAGGGAAAGCTCCAAAGCCCCCGAGCATCCATTTGTGACAATCACGTGTTCCGGACTCAGTTGGTGTTCCGGAGACGAATGGTGTGAAGCAATGGCGCACCGAGATTCCGGCGAGCCGCAAGCGTGTGTGTAGCCAGTGGTGTGGGGCTTGCGGACTACTGCTTGAACGATGGCCTCGATGGCCTTGGTGCACGGGGGAACATGAGCAAACGAGGAGTCTGCGCTCTGCAAAAGGTCCAAAAGATGCATGAGAAATTTGCGAGAAGAAACAAACAAATGAGTGAGTGATTGGAAAGTCCACGTTTCGCGGGACCACATGGGTTCGAAGAAGCATTGCTCGTACTTACCGCCAAAGAGATCGGGTCCTTCTTGTCGGTACGTTGTGAACCCAGCTTGATGCCGTCTATAATGGGTTGGATGATGCGTTGGACGGAATTTTTTAAGCCCGTTCGATTCGATTTCACCGAAGAGGGGCAGAGCCACAATAGCTCTTCCTTTTCTGCTTCGTCTTCGAGCTTTCGTAGTTTAGCGGGTCGTCCCAAACAGATTGGATCCATTCCGGCGTTTCTCTTGGCATTGCAGCTGCCAATTGGAGGTGTGACCGGAATGCCGGTTGCTGATAGAATTGCATCCCCTTTATAGAGCGGTAATGTTTTGTAGTAGATGGTTGTCTTCATTTTGCCAGTCGGATTCCTGAAACTGAAACACGGATTGCTTTCTACGTAGCCATAGACTGATTTGAGGGTGTTGTGTCGAAACGAAACCAACGTGCAGAATCTGTATACCTTTGCGAAAAACGTTATCGATTGACGCAATTGCTATGAGACAATCTCTGATGAAAAGTCCCATGTCAACATAATGACAGCAACGATGTTTAGTGCTATCTATGCAATTGCAATTTTGAATTTCAGTCACTGATGGAAAGATGCCGACAGATCCTTTCGATCCCAAAATGTGATACTCTGGCATTTTGGTTCGAGCTTGAAAGTGCAGTGACACAATTTGGGAACATGAGGAGTACGCAAGAACAATATTGTTACGTACGCTTAGCTGTCATGTTTCACGATTGAAATTGTGACACGGAATGCTGGAACCATGTCGATTTCAATTTTTTGGAAAAAAATTAGATTACCAGGACCCCCTAGGTACCGAAAAATGTGATCAGAAACAACCAATTTGTGATCAGTTTTTTGTGATCAATCTTGATCACAAATTTGAACAAATGCAACGGATACGTACGTACTGTATTAGAAGGATACGTACGTATACGATACAAGCTCCGAAGAAATGAATKAAGGATCATACCATTCCTACGTACCTATCGTAAGGTACGTTTCCTATGTATGTATCATAGGATCCAATATAAAGAGGACCGAACACTTAAGAGGTCTGTGGATCGTAAGAGGTCTACGATATCAGAAATAGAATACCTCGCACGGAACAAAGACGTCAGTAGATCAGAATAATAAGAACCCTGTGTAGATTTAGTACCRAGAGCTACACAGGATCTAATCAGGTCTACTGAAAGCTCACTTCAAAGCGCGAGAATCTTAATATTATAATTTCAATTTTCATACACACTTAACACCTACTAGAGTACACGTAATCTCGTGCAACAAATTTGTGTACATTTTATACTAGTCCTGTTTTGATATTAGTTTTCATATCTTTATATAAATAATACCAGTATTTTATACACATTGCATCATGTGCGATGACATTTTGTTGTTGTTCAAAGGTGTGTGAACGAATGGTTTGGTAGAGTCGTGTGATGAGGAGAGAGCACGCCTAAAAAAGGATCACCATGGTGGTGATAATTTTTATTGGAAGGGTGTCATAACCTGTGAAGGTGACTATCTAATAGTGATGTAAATTGTGTGCTAGAAGAAAAGTGAGTCGATCCTCTTATCGAGGATCGGCGTACTTTCTTCTGCTCTTCTTTTTGTTATCTCTTTCACAAGTTTTATGAACAACATTTGTCCCTGCAGGCTCCAGCCTTCCTTGCTTCTGATCCTACTGACCATGAATCTTTTTTTAGTGTTCTTTCTGTTTGCTGAATTATTCCAAGACTCAAAGTCATTGAACAAGAAAAGGAGTGCAAATGCCTCGTCATCTGTTGTGCTGAATATTTTGATAACTATGTTCTTGTGTCTCTTCCTCTTGAAGTTGTTTTGTTTTGGTGATAGTGCCTAATATCAGTCTCACAAAGTACTCAAACTCTGGTGTGTTCTTTCTTCTGTACTATGGGTTTAACACAAACAACAATCTGTCTTCACTTTCTGTTATGAAACATTTTCCAGTGAAAGTAGGTGGAAAAACACCATTTTTTTGTCGTCTAAATGTATGAATGATGGAAAGTACTTTTTGTTAGAATGAATCATTATGCGAATGGGTACCAAACATGTACTGCCTCACATTTCACAAGAAATATCACTAAGATCACTAAGAAAACACTAGTAGTACTAACCATTTTGACCACTGATTCCAAAACAAGCGCTCTTTTCGCGGCTGACCAATACCAGAAGGAAGCTTCAGACTAGTTGAAAGATTCTACTCCAATCAATTTTGCAAGGCAGTTGCTTCAGAAGTTAAGATACCCTTCATGTACTTAAAAGCAGTGTTATCATTGTGTCCAGAATTATAATTACCTGTCCTCCTTCTCAAGTTGTGCAAGCTGGCGACAGTGATGCTGGTGACGTTCTGCTCACTATACATCTGTTGTTGAACCTTTTCCTAATGAACAATCTGGTCTCTAAATCCAGCGTTGGAAATGCTCAGTACATCGTTGTCCCAAGATCCATGTTTTCCAAATGTCTTAAAAGGTACAACAAGTTTCTAGACAGATGGAACTCCTTTTAGGCTAAATTTGACAAAGAACAAGTTTCTATTAAATCTACGTCCACCAACATTTGCAAGAAGTTGGAAGAGACTGGGAGTCTCATATCTGCAAAAACCATGACCAAGTACACAAATGCTTTCTGGAACCCCAACCCCAATGGTACTTTTGTGATGTCAAACTTCCTCTATCACTGGATAACAACAGAAGCTTCTCTCACAACCCCACTGATGGGACGTAGACACCAAAATGTGCTGATTACATCATTAAGGAAATGGAGAAGTTTTTTGCCAATCTCGTGGGTGATACGGCCCTCTGGAAGTTGGTAGGGAATGGCATGTTGCAAGTCATGTACCAAAATAGATGGGACTTGCTTCTTGTACATCATGCTGGTCTTTTTTCTGCTTCTACTACAGATTCCACTAATCCCATCCCATCCAATGCTTTGACAATTGACAACCTAAACTCTAAAACCAATTATCTGAATCCAATGGGTTTTTGGCTTAGGTGTTTGTGGCAAAACTTAAATTCAACCAACAGCTCCAAGGCCTTCACATCACTTTCCCTTGAGCACTGCCATAAATCCGTGTTCACCTATGAGAAATTATACACGTATTTTCTTCCCAAGTTAGCTGAGTGCAGTTTCATTGTTCCCAGGAAAATGGATCACATAACCGGAACGGACATGGTTTGTGCATTAGACCATCCCGACGTACACCATGGACAAATAGTGTTCCGTTACAAGAAGCACGTCTTATCGATGCTCCGCAAGTATCAATCAAAGAAGGTCACTGAAAACTAGTACTACTACCACCACATTGACATTGTTGTGCACAGCCGCTCCCACCTGATTTGTCTTTCTACCACCTCGGAATCACGTGGTCAATTCATTTTTTCTCTACCCAAAAGTTTTGATGATGTTATCGTATAGCATTGGCGGAGTGATTCCGGCCGACCCAGTCGTACATTAGCAATTCAATATATTCATAAACGTATATCAGTCAATATTTGTCGTACGCCGTACTCCCCCACGTCATTAGAAAGCTCTTTGAATTCTCTTTTTAACCATGTGCTTATCATACTTAATCGTCCGTTGGGGAAAAAGTTATGACTGTTCGAGTGAGTTGAACCTCTCTTAATGCCCTACGTGTTTTTTGTACTGTGCGGGGATTTTTGGCTATCTTTTTACCGTGTRATGACTCGTGGGATTAAAAATTTCACTTGTACTAGGGCTACATCGTGCACGAAACTATTTTGCACGTGCGCGAAACTATTTGGTCGCATGAATGTGGGATTCAAAAATTCAGCACGTGCCTGCTGTAGTAGTACACTGCAGTACAAGCCAATTTTTTAATCCCAGGAGTCGTTATATGGTAATTAGATAGCCAAAAATCTACGACTGGGTCGTACATTTGCCCGCCAACTCTATACGATAGGGTTTCCGTCTCATTGGACCTGCAGGACCAGGTAGCATTAACAAGCAAGCAAAGCTAGCTGCTACTAATAACTAAAAACTGGCGTTTTATTGTACCCATAACCCATTTCACTTTCTCGCAATACATTTGCCTTCCTACTTCGTACCAACAATGAGGTCTAGTAGGCCTCTTTTTAGTCTTCACGTTGAACTATTTATTTAAGATTCCAAGTTCCCAAAAGGACTGGGATCGAGCCAAAATTCCTCTACTAAACGTGCTACTACCGCCCCCAGTCAAGCACTTTTAGAACTTGAATAACGGGAATCATGGAAGTCGAATAGAATAAAAAGTACAAAAATAGTCGTTATTCCACTGGAATTGTCCTTCTGGAATAAGGGAGTTTGAGGGGGAGAAAAATGTAAAAACATGGTATCAACAAATTTTTAATGTAAAGCATGTACTAKGTTGAACGTGATTTTTTTCTGTAAAAATATAAAGTTACGGAAATGAGATGTTGGTGGCACGAGACGAGTTTCCTGATATGCTAGTACTATGAAAGATTGAACAAATGACAAACGTACAGTACATTATGGTATGTACAGTCCACCCAACTTTCGACTTCCCCTGGCTGCCCACCGCAAAAGACCTAATCACCCGATGAAATCATAACGTATGGCGGCCAGACTAAATGACTCTATGACCAAGACTCCAATGAAAAATAAAGATCATATCGGCATCTAGCGTACGATACTGCAACCATACGGTACGAGAGTGGTTTGCAAACATACTTAGTCGTAAGAGCAATCGTGCCATTTTTTCAGTAGGGTTAAGTACGGTACGTTCCACTGTATCACGAAACTAGGATTACTTTTTTTGGGAGCACTGTTGGGCATAATTGTAGATAGGAGGGTCGTTCATCAAAGAGCCCTATTGAAAGTGTTCCTGTCTGCATCGACAAGTAGCAGTAGACTACGATTTCATTGACATATCGGCGACAACAATACGAGGTCCCGTGACAAACAACGTCATAAATTAGGAACAATTGCTTGCTATCTCTTTGGGGCGACAAACAGGAACAACACCCCAAATAGCAAGGTCTCATCACCCAAAGCAGAAGAGAAACATCCGATAACAGAAAATACGAAAAAAAATGATGGAAATGATGCGACTGAAGAAAGGTGGGAACGACAATGTTCGCTCCCTTAGCAGCCGCCGGGAGCGTGTTTCGCTTCTAGGCGATGTTCAGATTCGTTCCTCTTCCACTTCTCGGAGCAACAGTGGTCTCCGGGGCAGGGAGCAGAGACGAAGAACGAGAGTGAGAGCTCATCCACAAGACGACGATGCGGAGGAACGGATTTCGCTACTAAATGATGCAAACTCACCCGGGAAGTTGAAGCGGTACAACAGATATGAATCTATCATAAATGACGGAGTTCCGTGGACTAGATCGCGATTGATGAAGTATGTCGCCATACTTGTTGTTAGTTCCTCGATGAGCTTCTTCTTGCTACGAAGAGAATCGAAGGTGATACGCTGGGAGGAATACCACAGCATTTTGGAGCCGGAGGGTTCCAAGAAAGCAAGGTGTTTTGAAACGAGCCGGTATAGTCTAGACGAACGGTGTTCTTGTCCTGATCCGAATGTAGCATTGAAGAACGACGATGCAAAGTTGTGGGACAGCAATCACGATCACATGGTATCCCAAGCTAAAAATGCACCGGGAGACTTGGACATCGTTTTCTTTGGCGATGGTATCATCGAGCAACTTAGTGGAACACACGGTTTGGGGGCTGAAATAGTAGAGGGCATGGAAGAGTATTTCGAACGGACGTTCGTGAAAAAAAATGGAGGAACTTTCAACGCAATTGCTTTGGGTAGTTCGGGCGATACGGTATGTTATGTTTGTTTTGTGAATAACAACATTTCGTGAAAATCGACCTTTTTGAAAATATTGTGTGGTCTTCCAACGCTCAAATGTGCTTATTTCCTGGTTCTCGTAACACCTAAATGCATCAACTTTTTTGCACCAAAAAAAGGGACCCAACCTTCTTTGGCACTGGGAGAACGGCATCCGACAGGCGAAACTCCGTCCAAAACTTTGGTTCATCATGGTGGGTAGCAACGACCTCTTTGTCCATAAGTGCACGGATGAATTTGTCATGGCCAATGCTCTGAATGTTGCGAAGAGAATTTTCGAAGACCAGCCCGAAGCTAAGATCGTCATCCATGGGATTATACCACGAAAAGACAACCCCGAATCGACATCGAATGCCCTAGGGCACCTCTGGAACCGTGCACAGGGCCTCAATCTGCAGGCCCGAAAGTGGATCAAAAAGCATTCATCGAGAATTTTCTTTATGAATGTTGGGCAAGTACTGATGCAAAACGGGGGCATGAAGGGCAGGAAGTTTTTAGATCCGAACTTGATTGATGAGAAGATGAACCCAACAGCGAAGGGCATGGAAAAATGGGGAGACCTTGTTGTGAAGAAGCTCGTTCCAATCCTGAAGGGTTTTGATATGGCAAAGCACAGAAAACAAACCAAACCACCAAATAAAGAAGAAAAAAGTCAGACCAAGGGAACTAGATAGATAGGGGATATTACTAAAGATTTTCACTAGTTGTTACAGCTAAGTTAGAACATTTCTTTCGCCATCTCTTACGAAAACCTACCTTAGGGTTTTCCATACTATCACCACTTTCCATTTACTGATCATACTTTCCCAACGTCACATCGATTATCGACTTGACGATGAGGCTGTCCTTCAAATATGAGCTGTGCCCTCATTTTTCTCCCTTATCAAGACGTACAAGCCAAACAAGCCAACCAACGATAGAAAAAGTAAAGAAAGTCGTAAGCTGGAGAATGAACGAATTGATTTGCATCACGGAACAATCCCAGTGTTTCTTGTGTCCGCAAAATCCAATCTCTGGCTTTTACCGGCAAGTTGAAAGTTCAAGGTACTCTGGAATGATTTTTTCAGATCGCTGTTTTCTTCATGTCCAAGCCGGAAAATATTCACCAAACATCAATTATTCCTAAAATAGACCACCTCTTGTCCAGTGCCGTCAACAGCCCTTCTTACCACACCTCTTGCATGGTTCAAAGGAGAAGGATCTGGGATCTTACTGTCATCGGTGCGATGTTTTAACAAAAGAGGTTCCATTCGATACCCGACAGGATCGGCCGGAGAAACAATATTGTACAACACTATCGTAGATTTTGCTTACACAATCAAGTGTTCGAAATCCGATTGGTATTCTCTGCGTTGCTTTCACTTGCTTCAGTGAAATGAAGAGGCCAGAGCCGACTTCCCGTTCACAGGTCCCGAATTGTCTTGGATTTTTCATCGAGCACTGTCAACGGTAACCACGTACTCTCTCCCATCTCTGGAGAGGAGGCATCGCTATTTTTGAGATGTGTCTGATCACAATGCACGAGAAGCGTTTCCCAGTTCATTCGTGCAACCTTTTCTACCATCACACTCCGCCGATCTTCGTTGTGACCTTCTTTGACCGAGTATTAGTTTTGCCAGAACAACCAAAGTTGCAAGACAGGACGACGCAATGATGGTATGAGAAGCGTATTATAGTTCGAGATCCAAACGATTCAAACGCCTCATCCGAATCCAATGAATCACATGTGAAACCAAAAAAAAACCGACGACGCAAGTACGAGAACAACTTCTGCTACAAGATGACTGGCCAAACAGAAGCCATCTGTGTCTCATGGAGAGATGAAAGTTCTATTTAATGGTTTCAGGAAACCGATTTTATCGTTGTAATGTTGCGATTATATCATCATCTCCTATGGATTTGATTTTAATGAACAACACGACCGATCTCCAGTAGCTCGCTCTGAGGCAGCCGTGGTATAGTCGCCTAGGTAGGGCTCGATGCCACTGATACGTGATACTTCGTGTGAAAATCATTGTTCCAAATAGCTACAAAGATCTCTTCCTTCACTTCCATCCCTTCAAGTTTTGCCCCATGCCAACATTGATCAGCCCTCTAGCAGTTCTAAAATCTTTGGTAGCAGTCCAAAGCCAAACCAGTACACCTGCAGGGATCCCAGCACAAAGTCCATTGCCAAGAATACAAATAGAAACCATCTCTTTCCCGGTCGATAGTCTTCGATGCTTCCTTTCTTGGCTACAACAAAAACGTCGGACCACAGCTGGAAACTGACCTGCCACCAACCGATAACTCGGTAATACAAGAAGGAAAACGTAAATGCGACCTGGCAAAATAGAATGATCACGCCCCATAGTGAACCTCGGTCCTGGGCAGGAAAGTACACATCAAAATCGCACAAGACCAAAAAAATGGTGCTGATTTCCTGTCGTTGACATGAAGAAAATAGTAAGCAACAGCACACATGTACACAGTATACACAAAGGAATKGGACACTTGTCAGAAAGGCGTGATACTTTTGGTTCACGAGAAACATCCGTAACGCAATCACTCTCTGACCCGCCATCCAACAATCATGCTTACAGAGCATCCCCCAAAGAAAATAGCGTAGTAGTGGACCATTTGGTATTCCAGCGACAGCAGCGAGGTTACGGCCGCCAAGAAATGGTGGAATAGGAATATTGTTGTGTTGTGTTCCGGAACTGTCATTGATGTAAAGAAATCAAAGGTCTGGTAGACAAAGATCGCCGCGTTGAGGCGGTCGGCCTCGTCCAGGTACCCAAAGAGACGGCCCTCGGGGGTCCGGGGAATCCCCTTGTCGACCTTTTTGGTAGCGTGCCAGGTGAGAAAGCCCATTCCCCCCAGGTAAAGCTGCACGACGGCGCTGGTCGCTTGCTTGGCAAAGAGATCCGACCGAATGCAGTTCTCGCCGCCGTCGGATTGGTTTTGGCAAAATTCGTCGGCGGGTCGGAGCCATGTCTGGTGGAAGAACCGTGTTTTGTTTGATAGGTTAGGCATGCAGACAGGTCGCACGCAGAGTTGCGCAAGGGCGTACGATGGAAAGAATCGAAACAAGCAAGAATTCAGAGTGCGAACGGGCAAGATGGAAACGGGTATTCCGCGCTTCGTCGTCCTATCGCACAGCATGCCGAAAAGCGCACGCACCGCCCACCGATCTATTGTGTGATACGTACCGCATCTCGAAAGATCAAACGTAATCCGTTGTAAAACAGAACCAATCCCGCTAGCGATCCGACAATTGCCGTTCGTCGTCGGGCAATACCGGAAGGAATGGCGGGAGCTATGGTTGTTTCGCTCCTGACATGCTTCTTGGTTGTTGGGCCGCACATTTTGATCGATCGGTAAGGAACCACTAGAGTGCAAGGAATAGTTATGATAGATTCTAGACAAATGCAGCAATCAATCGGTTTGGTTTTCCAGAATACAGTAGGATGGAGACTACGAGTTCGTAATGCTGGCTGAGGCTAGTTCTTCCTAGAAAAAATCTCCTGAACTAAACTTTCAGGAGGACGAGATTGATCTGTTCCAGAGCCCTGGGGATGATATTGTTCTACGGTTTCGTTGGGTTCGTCGGCCCGGACCCTGACATGATATTTTGTGTTGATGTTGTAGTCCGCAGAAGTTGTACTCGTACTTTAGTCGTCGTTATTTTGTACGGTACAGTACGTACCGTATGGTACGGTACTGTCGTATTTTCTATTTTCTCACCTGCATTCCGAACAAGTGGAAGCACAGTACTGTACCTGGTATTGTAATACAGTAGAACTACACACCACAAAGTGTGAGTAAGGTACGTACCTGACACATGGTGACACGTACGACAAAAAAATAATTAGAACCTCTACCGTACCTACTAGTACTGTACCCATCCCTACCGTACTGTAGAACTACCGTTGGAGCAGCTAGCGACTAGTAGAAGTATTTCTTATTCTGCGTTCTTCTATCAGATCACGGATGAAGCAGGAATGAGACGAAAGAACATAGATTAGTTGTTTGTTCTTCGAAAGAATTCCAGAACGATCCCGGTATGACGACAGACCGAAGAAAGAAATACAGAACAGAAAATCCGCGTTCTCCCCTCAGATTGTCAGTCTGTCCACCAACCGTAATAGGAAACCCCGACCGTCATTCGTGAACTCCCCACGCGCGTGACCCATGCCGCCAATCCCTAAGTCGTATGTACAGTACTTGGTACTGTGTACTGTACCGGAGGGTAATACAATACGCTAGAAAATTAGAAAATGGCCTTTTCTTCTGTCGTTTGCGATTTCGCTTCGTCAGGAAGTACGGGTAACGGGTACCGTACTGTACTGTACTCGTACTCGTAACACTTCTTCCTATCGCATGGGTGTGCACCAGGACGCTACTCGAAGAACTATAAAACGCATTGCAGCCGAACACCCACGCTCTTGTCTGCTTCCAGCGCAACACCATGCCACCGCAAACCGAGGATGCTACCAACCTAGAGGCCCTGACCGAGCCGCTGCTTTCCCAGGAGGAAAGCGGAAATGCCGACGACAATCCGAACGAAGCCCGCCGCAAAGCCTCGCGGAGCCTGGCCATTCCGGACGCCGCGGCGGAAGGCGGGGACTCCGACCCCCTCTCCCCGGCGCGGGACGCAGCCCCGGCCCCGGTCGAACCCTTTTGCGTCCGAGAAGAGATCGTCGCAATGCTGTCTCTGGGCTTTCCGCTGGCCGTCTCCTTCTTTTGCCGGATGGGAATGGCAGCGACGGACTCTGCCTTTGTCGGCCACATCAAGGACGGCGAACGAACGGCCGAGGTCTTTCTCTCCGCGGCCGTACTGTCGGACATGGTCCTGGGCATCTGCATCACGCCGCCCCTGGCCTTCAACCAGGTGCTGAACGGACTGGTCAGCCAGGCCATTGGCTCGAACAACCCGCGGATGGCCGGCATCTGGCTGCAGCAGTCCATGTTCTGGCTGGCCATCACGATGCTCCCCTGCCTGGTGGGTCTGTTCTTTGTCGAACCCATCCTGGGACTGCTGGGCTTCCCCGCCGACATCTGCAGCGTTGCCGGGACCTACGCCAAGTACAACGCCCTGTGGCCCGTTCCCAACGGACTCTACCAGTGCATGCGCTTCTACTTCCAGGCCCGCGGCCTGCCCAAGCCGGCCATGTACAACAACATCGTCTTTCTCTTTGTCAACGCCACGCTCAACTGGATCTTTGTCTTTGGGGGACCTATCCCGGGTTGGAAGGGATTCGGATTCATCGGGGCCGCCATTTCCCTTTCGATTTCCCGGACCATGCAGGGGGTCTGCTACTACCTTTACATGTTTGTGTACAAGAAGCACCACATTGATGCCTGGCCAGAGGAGGGCTGGAGTTTCTGCCACCACACGAAGGAGCGCACGATGGAGTTCATGAAGCAGTCCCTTCCCAACATCGGAACACTTCTCTTTCAGTCTTGCGCCTCCCAGGCCACCACCATTCTGGTGGGCCGACTGGGAGAGCTCCCGATTGCCGCCTCGTCGGCCCTTTCTACGGTCACCATTCCCTGGTCCGGGACGTTGTCGGCCACCTGCTGCACGGTTTCGGGCGTCCGGGTGGGCTACCACCTGGGCCGCGGGGACGGGAAGGCGGCCAAAAAGTCGGCCTGGCTGGTCATGCACTTCATCACGGCCGTCAACGCGGTCATGGCGATCTTTTTCCTGGTGCCCTTTCTCAAGAACAAGGTTCTTTCGATTGCGACGAACGACGAGGGCGTCGTAGCACTGGTGCGTTCGGGTCGTCTCGCATTGCATCGCAATGGATTTTCTAGCACGTCGGTTGGTTKGTTTGTTTCTGCTCTGTATCTCTTCTCACTCGTTTCGTTTCGTTTCGCTACGTCTCAAACACTGATTCTTTACACTCCGCTGCCATTTGTCGTTGCTTCCGACCCCCCCCCCCCCCACACACACACATAGGCCGAAAAACTGGTCCCGGCCATGCTGGTGAGCACCTACCTCAACCTGCTGGTCAGCAACGCAACCTCGGGGGTCTTTTCCGGACAGGGCCGCCCCCTCATTGCCACCTTTTTGTCCTTTGGGCTGGAGCTCCCGCTCTCGATCGGAGGCGTGGCTGTTTACATCTTGTGCTTTCACGGTGATCTAATCGGTGTGTACTGGTGGGGAGCCATTGCGGCGGGGATCGAGATTGTCGTGGTCCTCTACCTGGTGATCACCTCGGACTGGGCCAAGTGCGCGACCGATGCCCGCGACCGGCAGGAGGCCGCGAGGAACGACGACGGTGGCGGTGACCAGGAGAACGAAAGCGACCCCGAAGGCGGAATGATCGCCTCCGAGGCCGACACGGATCCCACGGGCTCGATCCTGTCCGACTTGGGGGAGGACGACGACGGTGACGATGGTGCTGGAGCGATCGAACCGCCTACCGAGGACACGGAGGAGGTGGATTCCGAGCCAAACAACGACGGCGCGGAAAGAACCGCACCCGCGTCCACCTTCGACGTGACGGCTGCGGGAAACGAAGAGGAATCAGGAGCACCGGCTGCGACAGCACCACTTGCACCAGCCACAACAACGGCATCCGCCACCAATACCGCCACAAGAAAGAAGGGATCCAAAAAGAAACGAAAAGGAAAGCGGTGATGGATTGTTCAATAATTTTGCAAGTCTGGTGTAAACTAGTTTTTCTATCAAAACACATGTCAAAGATACGATAGTTGTAGTCTGGTTTCTTCAATGCACATCGCGCACTCCTGCACAATACGGCCCTGGGCGAATCAATCGGTCGCTTTTGGTATCCATCCATCCATCCATCACGTCCACTCATCCATCCATCAACAGTCCGTGAGGTCGATGGCCTCCTCCTCCTCGTCTCCGCACGCTAGGTCGATGACTGCATCCTCTCCATCTCCCTGGATCAGGTCCACCAACCGATCGTCCTCTTGTTTCCAGCGCTTCTTGCTGCTGTACGGTGTCGCAAGCACGGTCGTCTCTTCCGTTGCTTCCTCGCTTGGGGACTCTCTCTTTTGCGGAAGCACCGCGGTTTGAAGGGTTCCCGATGCTTTGGGCGGCGTCACCGTAGAAACGGTAGTGACAAAATCGGGTATTGGTGGAAATCCCGAAAGTATCGCATTGTCCGTGGACATTTCGAGGGGAATCGTCCTGTCGGAGTCTTCGCCCGAATCTACCGAAATCGACGACGCAGAACCCCTGCCAGTCAAACGCTCAATGATGCAGCCAGAGGGATTATTTGTTGGCGCGGCCTTTTGGGGCGGAGGGCAAGGTTTTCGTGACGAATCCGAGTGTTGCCCGGTGACCTCGTCCCGGTTCTTGCCCTGGCCCTCGTTCGACTCGAGATTGCCACCACCAGTACTGCTGCAAGTGTTGTTGTTGTTGCTGCTGCTGTTGCAATTCGATTCAAAAGACACCCTTCGCTTCTTTTTCCACTTGCTGGATACTTCGCTTTTCTCGTAGTTACCGGTTCTTCTAGCAGAATACGAAAGAAAATAGTTCGGGGACGTTCGGCACAGCTCGGATTCGATTTTATTCCAGGAGAGGTGGCGCTCTCTATAAAGGTCGATGATATCTAGAACGAGGGGATCGTATTTCTGTATGATCTCAAAGTCTTCCATCGGACAAAGCATGCGGATTTTATCCGTCTTGCGGTTGCGCTTTAGCACGTCGAGGCCCTTGAAGGTGGGTCGGCCCCCGGCCTGCCGAACGCTTTCGTTCGATTGGCCTTTGCCTAGGTTCAGTATCATCGACGTTGGAACTCGCTTGGTGGACCGAAAGGAACGCGATCGCTTCATGGCATAATAGCCAAAAATCACAATGGGCATTTTGAGGCCGTAAGTTTTGCTGTTGTCAATTTTCTCGATCAATTCGCCGAGGGTTCTGTGGCACTGGAACGCGAACTTATGACCAGGGAGTCGATAAAAAACGAATTCAGCGTGGACCACTATCGCAATGAACTTCCGCTCCGGAATCGTATAGAAATAGTCTTGAACCCCGGATGCCTGGAGGAAAACGTTTTTCTTTTCCTTGGTCACCCAGGGGCAAGTATCGACCAGTGTTAGCATTCCAACGGAGTTTTTCTTTAAAATCTCTTGGCGCAGAAGTTTGATGCATTGGTTGTTGAAGAATGGGATCGTCTTGTTCCAGACAGAAGGAAATTTTGTCCGGTTTAGGGGTTTGTCTGCAGCTTTCGAATCTTCTTTGAACGGAAACAAGGCAAAACGTTGTCGAGATCGTTTTCTGATCTCCTCAAACTCGAATTTCGGTTTATATCTCTTCCCGGGTTCTTTCTCTAAGACAAATTTCTCCAAGTCCAACATGAAACCTTCCTTTACTGATAAATCGAGGTGATCGTTTACCTGATTCTCTACACCAACATAGTTTTTTAATTTCTTTTTTGAAGTCGTGACGATGGGTTTCTTGTCTATGGAATGCTCAAAGGTTGGAATTGGAGTCGCTGTTACTTTCACAACCAAAGGGTCAAAGTGTTGCAGGAATTTATTCAAAGCTATTTCGTTTTTCTGAACATTGTCTTCGGATCTATGGGTGACAGCATCGGCTTCATCTAGAATGAGTGCACAGCCAGCGCAACAAAACCCGTTATTGTTTGCCTCGTTCAAACTTTCGTCGAGTATTTCTTTAGTCTTGGCGATCTGCTGGAATGTGTCTGGAATAATTAAAACACTAGCTTTCTCGTAACATAGAAACTCATTCCAAATCAAATCTTCACTTTGATAGACAGACAAAACCGAAGATTCAAATCTTGATCCTTGAAGATAACTGCAGATTTTCCCATATAACTCTTCACTCTCCTTCTTTCCTTTCGTCAGAAGAATCACTGGTATGTTCATTGTAAGGAATGAACATATTTTTACGGCCTTGAACGCTGTCTTTCCAGACTGCGTTGGCGCCCAGTGAATATGCTCGGTAGAAGTGTTCCGACCTATTTTTCTCATTACAGTATTTACTGTTAACTCCACGATGTTTTCTACATCGAAAGTATCAGCGTTTTTGAGAAGCGTTTTCATCCCTTTCATCAAAGACTTGACTCTTTTACTGAAAATGTGAGAGAGTTTGTCGCAAGATTCCTTGTCAGCGGCAACTTTTCGGGCCTTATCATTCTCCCGAGCGAAGAGGTCGGTAACAACGATTTCCGCTATGCTAAGACTCATGAGAAATGCTAATTACTGTCAATTTTCGAAATCAACAAAAACTTTCATACAGAGAATGACACTCGATCAACGAAAGTGAAAGCGATATCGAAAGTATTCTGTTGTTGGGAGAGAGAATGGCACCAATCGATTTTTTGCAGTCGAGAGGGTAGTGTGATAATATAGTCGCTCTGTAAGCCGTATTATAGTAATGAATAGTGATTTACTTGTTGCTGCACAGTGTATTTGTTATTCTCGTGCTGTTGGTGATACAAAGTTAAATAATCAATCACGTAAGTTGTTAATCGATCGTCTTTTCACTGAACGAACAGAAAAAGTATCTTTCGGATCACAACAGACATTAAAAACAAAAAATACGATCGAAAAAATCGAACAGCATTGGGGTTCACGGGAATGATGTGAGTTTTAGGAGTTTTAACTTTTTCCCGTCGCGTGTTGCCAAATGTTGCCACCTGGAAAATTAAGGATTTTTTTTGGGGGGTACTACTACTACACTACTACTCCACTTACTATCACACCCCTCTCATCACTATAAACAATATTATAAGAACATATTTTAACAAATATAAATATATTCATTTATAACACATCACTACACTTGATGGTTGAAGTTACTCCAATGCTTTTTACATACAGCAACATTGCAACTTCTGCAACCACCATTCCTTGACATTTCTTTTCTACTAGTACTACTAATCCACCATGCTGCTGCTGGCAACTTCCTCAATCTCTTCACTGATGAGTTAGGATACCTAAGCTTTGCTTCTTCTACACAGATAACACAATAGTTCCTCTTTACTCCTTCATACTTGCCACTGCATCTTTCTTTATGTGGCTCTGACATTACCTTTCCATGAGCAATGGTCCTTCTTCTTGTCTTCTTGTTCACACAGAAGAAAGAACAAATCCTGCAATAGCAAGGGTGATATTTTCCATTCTTTGAAGTC